GTTGATGTTGATCATCTTAATCAGACTGATGACAACTATTGTCAAACTTTTTCTAATGATTTCGGGGATGACATTTATAGGGTTTCTTTAGATGATGAGGATGGTGAATACAAACATTTATCAATGAACAAAACTATATTTTATCTTTTCAATATCTTAGTAGTTCAAGAGATGGATTTACTTGAGATATATAATGAGTATCACTGGACCCTTTCGAATGATATCGTTGATATGAGGAGAAGAGAACAATGAGCAAAATATAAAAATCGGGGCTTGATTCACTATACACAAATGTTTTCTAGTAAATTAAAATGAAACATTGCTTTTGGGAAAATAGAAAAAATGACTCAAGAAGGTAACAAACTATTGATTTTGTTCACATTTGGTCACTTTCCTTTTTTTTATACAATATATCATCGAACTTTTTGTTTCACCATAATCTTTTTGACCGACTTCATAAAACTTTTTTATACACTTTCATAAAACTTTTTATAAACTTCATAAAACTCTTTTTAAACTCGTTTTACAACATTTTAAAAACATTTCAATAGATTTTTTTATAATGTTTCTTTAATACTTTTTTATAACATTTCAAAATACTTTCATTAAATATATGTTCTATGAAAGTATAAAAAAAGTTTTAGAAAAAGCGTAAAACAAGTTTAAAACGTTGTATTAAAAAAATATAAAAAAAACTTATAAACTTTTAGTTAACATGTATAAAAATGTAGTAATTTTTTTAAAACATTTACAAAATATTTTTGTTTAAAAGAAATTAAATTAAAATTGTATGAGTATAATTTTTTTTAATAGTTATAACCCAAGTTTTAGACATTGTATTAAAAAAATATAAAACACGTTTATTACTTCTTTTTGTAAATAAGTATAAAAAAAACTATAAAAGAGATTAGAATAACATGTAAAAAAATAAGTAAAAAATCTTTATAGAAAAAGTAGTAAAAAATTCTAATAAAGTATTTAAAAGTGTTGTACAAAAATTAATTTTAAATTAAACTAAAATTTTGACGATATCATAATAAAACTTAATATTCGGATTAAATGTATAACAAAATTTAAAATTTGAACAAAAGGTGTAAAATTTTAAATAAAAAATTGACACATTCAACTTAAGAGGCAGCAGGTAAACATACAAAATAATAATAATAATAATAATAATTTTTAAAAAATAAATATGTATTTGTTGGCATTTGAAAGACACACGAAATAGTTAATTTAAAAAAAAAATAATAACATATATATATTAATCATATTCAAGAAAACAATGTTATCCTTTCATAGATATAGAGATAAGAAATGGTGACAAATGTGAAGATTGAAGGTATACATGTAGTAGGTGTACATTAATTTGTAGGTAATAACCAAGTAGTCAAACCCAAAGATTGTCAAACTACTACGACGATCATAAACAGGCAACGTCAAATCCTATGCTTTTATTTGCTTTTTTAATGACAAGACGACAACCACTTGAAAGAAAAATGATAATTTTCACATGATCCAACACAAACTACAACTAGATTTGGATATCTTTTACAATCATGTTTCTGCATTGTGTTCATAATTTCACAGAAATCAGACGAGTGAAATCCATCAAAACTCAAATGACTATCTATGCAATCTCTTCGTCTTCGTCTTCCTCTAGTTTTTGCTGTTTATAACAGTTTCAGACATCTAATTACATACGAATTGTAACTTTCCCACCAATACCCATGTGCAAGAATGCAAAATCTTGAATCTGGTATCATCTTTCATACAATTAATTAACACAAACCCTAAACCAACAAAAAGTACAGTCTATACTCTATACCGACTCTACCATTGGTGGAGTAGATCGACCTTTAAGAGCATATACATAGGCCCCACAACAGCAGTGGCGTAGGGGGTAGGGGGTAGAAAATATTCGTGAAGAAGATGACAAATTGACTTTGAATCATGGATCTGTTATTTTCAAGATTTTAAGTTTGTCTAGCTCCTCATAAAAGAGATAGGGGCAAATGACCAGAACGAAAAGGGAAACAAGAAGACAAAGTGTCAAGTCATCTGCGTAAAAACTAAGTTTTTGTTTGTGGATTGAAATGAACAGACCTATGGAAGGCGATTTGAAACAGACAACAGACACTTTTGCCTCTAGCATAAGGGTCCCTCTTTACTTACAATGGTGTTCCCATGCCCACTAAAGACCCCATTAACCACTTATTATGTATGCAGTATGCATCATGCATGGCATGGCATGTATATACAACAAAAAAAAAAGAAAAAGAAAAAAAAAAGTGGGAAAGGGTTACTAAATATGATGTGATAGTACTCTAATGTGCAGAAAGTCATTGTTGTGGAATCTCGGCCCCCACACACATGTAGGGATGATTTGGTGGATGCATGGGGCTGATTTTTTTTTATTTTTTTTGGAATAGTCTCTTTTGGGGTGTTTAATTCTCAATTGATCACGAAAGGATCAATAGTGTTAATTATCTGATAACATAGCAATTTTTTTTTTTTTGTAAATTGTTAAAATAACCAACAAATTCAGAACTGTTTTGAAACTTTGAAAGTCTAGAACCTATAATTTTGAAGTAAAACTGTTTTTTATACAAAGTTGTTTCGAATCTCTGGAAGTTTCGAAATGCTATTTACAATTTCAAATATCATTTTATTGAGAATAAGTTTGTGTCAAGTTGACCGACAAGGTTTCGAAATATTATTAGTTTCGAAATTGAAATGTTTGTCATTTTCTTGAAAACAAAAATCGTGAAAAATATATTGAAAAAGCACTTTCATGAAAGAAAAATATGTTTGGATTGTTTATTTTGTGATAAAAGTTAGAAAATTTTGTCATTTTGTAATAGGGATATATGTAGAAAAACACAATTAATTATATATGTGTATACATAAAAACCTTATATTATTTTTATGTGTAAAAAACCCTTATAGTAATAGCTATCATTTGAAAAGGACCAAAATACGGTTTTCAAAAGAAACTGACAACTACAAATATGGTGTTGCATATATTTTTGTTTTTTACTAAGACTTAATTATGATAAAAAAAAACAAATAGTTAAGGAGAAAAAAATCGTATAGTTTCATATGGAGAGCACAATCGAGAAAAAGTAATCGGAAAAAATATAAGTTTTGACATGTTTTCGCACTCAATCAATAAAATATAGAATTTTGCAGTTTAGTTTTATTTGAAACGTAAATAATAATATAAAGGTTTTTCTGAACATTAAAATAATATAAGAGCTTTTCTGCATGTACATGTATAATTGGTTGTCCTTTTCTGCATATATATCCCTTTGTAATATTACCTTTCTACCTTTTGTTATTTTTATTATTAGCCTATTAATTTATCATTTTTTTGGAATAGTCTGTTTTGGAGTGCTACTACTTATATCTCCATCAGTTATCTAAAAGGTGCGTCATGGCACACGCCAAGGCGTACCATGGCGTGAGGTGTGACTTTACCGTTACGAAAAGCCTCATAACATTGTTGTTAGGCGTGTTGTGTTGCAAGGCGTGATATGGCGTGCCATGACGCGTTATGACACGTGTTTTTTCGTTTGAGAAACGTTTTTTTGCTCTTTGTTATGTATTTTCTAATCGGGGATACAAGTATTGTGTTTTTTGTTAATTTTTTGTTATTAGTTATTGATATAACACTTCTAAAAAGTTGTTATATTTAATATAAAGTTATATTTATGTGGTAATATAATTATAAATTAATACAAAATCGCCGCTTTACATCACGTATTGAAAAACGTCATGGTTCGCTATGGCTCGTTAAGCTTGAGGCTTGGTTTTGCTGTCACGTCACACCTCACGCCATTTAGAACCTTGATCTCCATTGATCACGGAAATAATCAATATTGTTAATTACATTTGACAACATATCTATCCTTTTGTTAATCGTTAAAATGACCACTAAATTCGAAACTGTTTTGAAACTTTGAAAGTTTCAAACCTGTAATTTCATAGTCAAAATGCTTTTTCTAACAAAGTTGTTTTGAAACTCTCAAAGTTTCAAAATACCATATATAATTTCGAAATTTTTTTTGTTCAGAATAAGTTTTTGTCGGTTTTGAGTTTTGACCGACAAAGTTTCGAAATTTTGTTAGTTTCGAAATTGTGTTGTTTATGTCATTTTCTTCAAAAAAATATTTTTGAAAAATATATCAAGAAAGCAAATTCATGAAAGAAAAATGTTTCTGAATTAGTTATTTTATGATAAAAGTTAAAAAGATAATTATTTTATAATATATTACCTTTCTATTTTTTGTTATTTGTTATTAGCCCAATTATTTATCTACTATACTCTCAATTCCTTATGGAAGAAGAAAAGAATGGATCCACTATCACTGTTTTTCTTGCATATTCTCTTTTTCTTTATCCGTAAAAGGAGTTGAATATGTTTGTATTATATGCAGATTGTAAATTTCTTTAATCTTCATTTGTTGAGAATCATGTGAAAGTGTAAAGAGACCACTTATGTTCTTTCTGATCTCTGCTTTAATGGGCTACTTTATTCAAATTCCTTTTTTTTTCTTACTTTCTTCATCTTTTTTGGCTTCTTTTTCCCCCTTTTCATGTAATAACAAGTCTCTATGAAGGTATGTTCATCCTCCCCACCCATAAAAAAACTTCAATTTATAACAAAAAAAAAAAAAATTAAACTTTGATGAAAGCCCTCATTCATGAGACCAAGATTCTTGGAAACTTGGATATATCAAAACACAACTTGAAGATTAAGCACAAACATAACAACAAATTCAAACCACCATTAACGTTAATATGTAACTAACAATATAGCATTAACGTAAAAATTCTCTAAAACAAGTAGAGCTCAAAACCAACACATAAACCCTCTAAAACAAATTTGAGCATTAAACAGCCGCGGATTTTTTTTTTTTTTAAATCCCCCTCCATGATCATTCCATCCATCTACCTAAAGTAAAAATTCTCACACACATCATCACTATGTGTGTTTAAATTTATACAACACTATGAATCTTATCAATATCTTCAACCTTTTCATCTTCTTCTTGTTCTTGTTCTTGTTGTTGTTCAGCTTCCATGGCAGCTCTTAGAAGCTCTTCAGGAGTTGCAGCAGGGTCAAGATCCCAACACCCATCTGGCAAATTCAAAGCTTGACCTCTAAGCAAACACGAAGGAACTTGATGACTGAATCTCAACATCTCTTTTCTTGGAATCCAGAAGCTTCCATTCATTAAATCCCTTTGATAAACAGTTTTATAACCTTTTAACTTAACCAAATTAGTCACACAAACTCCAAGCTCTTCTGAATAATCCTCTACAACTTCCACCATTTCATATTGATGTCTCACTTCTTTTGGTGTCTTTCTATTCCAATTAACTGACCAATTTCTATACACTGCCCAAATGTCACCACTTTTCGGGTAGATCTTCACACACCCACCTCTCCCCGCTTTTTCACGCCCCAAAAGATGAGAAAAGATGTTGACTTGGTCAACTATGTCTGAATGAAACACCCGGAAGCTTCCGCATGATTTTGTGAAACCCGATTCGATCCATTTCACGGATCCGAATTCGGAATCGGTTCTTGAGTTTAAGTAACTTATGTAAAGCTGAAAGGGTTTTAAAGAGATGACCTGGCGAATTAAACAATAAAGACGTGGCATTCCATCTTCTTCATCGTATATTGCCCAAATTTGTTTGGGTTTAAACACTTCTTCAGATCTATCCATGTCAAAATCATGGAAATCTGGATCAGGGACTGTTATTGGCATTGGGGATTTCTTCAGGGTCTTGATTGTTTTTGAAGCCGATTTCATTTCTTCTAACTTTAACCGAATCACCTTTCTTGCCTTGTCAATCAACAACTTTCTTGCATCAACAACCGGAGGAGGGGCAAAATTGACATGATGACTAACATACCCGTTACTCAACGCCACGTCAGCATCCGTTTTATATAACATTTTTTCACCGTTTGTATTGACATTTTGTGTCATGTCTTCCGTCTTTCTCTTTTTCGGAGGCCTTCCAAGCCTAACAACCGGGATTTCACAATTCGAATGATTTAAATGATTTGACTTTGTGGACGATTTTGCCCTTCCGTTTGGTTTATGAACAAGATTGGGATCTTGACTAGTCAACGCGCCAGAGGACATATTCCATTGAAAGGACAGATTTTTGGTGTATTCTGAATGAAACCCTGAGGACCCATCTCCTGAAAAAGACACTGATGAATTTTGTATATAAGTAGGAGGAGGAGGAGGAGGATTATAATCATTATACGAAGAATGATTTCCATATCCATTTTCAGATGTTGTGTAAGACCAAGGGCAATAAGTCACAGGGGCAGCTCCTGTTTCAACAGCTACAAAAACCCCACGACAATTCTTACATGAAAGTCTTTTATTCACGTATTTTCTTAAATATTCATATTGGACACGACATGAAGTGCAAACTGTCCAGAATGTGTCAAGTCTTGAAGCTGAAGTGGTTAAGTGTTTATTTCTTCTGACATCGTACAGGTTTCTTTTTGTGTTATCAGAAAGAACACTCCATGCTTCTGAAACGAGTTTGAAAGCTTCATCTGCTCCCATGGTTTTGTTCTTATCAGGGTGAAGAAGAACAGCCATTTTCTTGTATTGTTTCTTGAGTGATGATTTGTCTGAAGAAGGGTGTAATCCAAGAACTGAGTATAAATCGATTTCACCGTTTATTTTTGTGACAGTTGCTGCGTATATTTCAAAAGTAGCGACCATTTGGGAGATGCCCTCGAGTTGTGGGCATATTGCTTGAGCTTTTAAGGCGTAGTGTTTGGCACCTGTGAAGTCTTTTACTGTGAATAGCTTTTCTGCGTTCTCTTTTGCTATAAGAGCTTCTTCTATGTTTGATCCCATCTGAAAATGACGAACTCTGTGTGCTTGCTTACAGGAAATCTACATATCTGCAAGAGAATAACTCGAAAGATGATGAAAGAATGAAAATCCGGCAAAAAAAGATAAAAAGTTTGTAGATTAAGATCGCATTACATTCGCGAAACATGTAATAAGTAACAATTGGGATATTTCGATCTAGTAATGAAGAGAAATGATATATTGAAGCTTCAATTTTCAATCTAAGCGTAAACTGAAATACAAAGGTTGTAATAAGGTTAATTACCGAATTCCCAACTAATTTCCCCCAAATGAAATGCAATTGCCATTTTGGGAAAGTTCATACTCGTCAACAAGATTTCAACTTGGACTGAATTTGATAGTAGTCCAAACTCAAAACTCACAAACAGATGAAAACAGACGAAAATGCGAACATAATTTTGAAGTAAACGCTAAGATCGCATCTGAAATGAAGAAAAATATGGAATTGGGAGAGATTGAAAACCCTAAAAACGATTTATTTACTTTTACATACACAGTATCTAAGCAGAAAACTGAAGTAAAACTTACCTAGATCCGCATCCAGAAGCAATTGAACAGTACCAAGATCTCAAATCAGTCGGTGGATTCGTGCCCAGTTTGCTTCAGATCTCGGATAAATGAAAGACGCTAACTTTGTTGTAAATCTTGAAAGTGAAAAATAAAAAATCAAAAACTTCAACTTTAAATATATATACACATATAAAAAGGGTGAGTATTTAACTATATTTATATACTGAAATTTAGGATTAGGGTTTCGAATAGATGCATAATTAAAGGGCAATAAAATAGGCAACTGTCGAATTACATTATAACGGCGGAGGAAGAAATCGGAGATTCCGTCAAATAGCCGACCACAAAAAATGTAAGGTTTAAAATATTAATAAAATATAAATAAATAAATAATATATGTGTAATGTGATATATTTTTATTTTTTTATATAATAAAGGGAGTAAAAGTTTTAAGCTAAGTATTTATTAATTTAATAAAGGAGAGAGTAAAAGTGCGCAGGTGTGTGTGATGCGCACCCACCTTAGCTTTGGTTGTATTTGATTGGTTAAAGAAGATGGACCCATTTTGACCCGAATCTTTGGGACCAAACCACATTCGACAATCGACAATCGACCCTGGGCCGTACTACTACTTCCTAGTTCCTACTTTCCTAGATTCACTTCACTCACAATTATTTGTTGCCTTGTTGCAAATTTGTTGTAGCCTTAGTCTATAGGAATGGTCAATGCCCAATCAATTTATGTCTCATTTAGTCTCAATTATACCACTCTTTATTTTTCAACACTTAATATTAAATTTTTTAATTTTTTAATATAAATATTATTTAACAACCAAAATATTAAAATAAAAAAAGTTTCATAATATAAAAGATTTAGACAAAACTTCAAAAATGGTCCCTGTGGTTTCCGAAAATCTGAAGTTTAGTCATTAATTTACAAAAACCTCACGGATCGTCCCTGTGGTTTCAAAACTTTTAACATATGGTCATTTTCGCTAACTCCATTACCAGTTAGCCGTTAAGGGGCATTTTTGTTATTTCACTACCCAGTGACCATTTATGAGGTTTTGTATTACTTTTTTTTAAATAAATAAAATTTAATATGCAAGGGGACCATCTCTCTCTCTCTCTCTCTCTCTCTTTCTCTCTCTTTCTCTCTCTTAGTTCGTCTCCTCCCCTTTCTATCTTCTTCTCCATTCTTCTTCTTCCTCCAGAAAAAAAATCCCCCTGCTTCCCTATTGTCTGCAAGCAAACAACTGCAACAGTAGTTGGTTGATCATCGAACCCAACAGAAGCTTGAGGGATTCGAAGACCATTAGAAGACGATACTCATTTGTTCCTTCAAGTTTGAACAGTACTGTCTTCTGCCTGACTTACAGGTTACGATTATGGGAGACGATACCCATTTGTTCCTTCGATCTCAGCTGACTTACGAACAAGGGAAACAATCGACTAAAAAAACAAAAGTGGTGGTGACCGATTTACTCACAGTGGCAGCAAAATGGTGGTGGTCGGACTTTCAACAGCGATGAAGGCAATGGAGTGGGTCGGCGATGGAGGAGGGTGACGGTGGTGGTAACGGCGGCTCCGACTGCCTCGTCTCTTTTTTATCCGGCAGCACACGGTGGGAGGAAACAAAAGGGAAAGCAGCAACGATTCCGGGAGGTCTGGTGGTGGTGGGTTATGACAGGAGGAGGCGAAGAGGTTGCCACCGTCGGCTGTGGTGGTCCTCTTCACCAGTGAAGTGAGATACGAGAGAGAGTGACGAGGGAAGGTGGTGTTGGGTGGTTTCTGACAGCTTGCTCCGATCAGTGGCAAGAGAGGGAGAAATACGGTGGTTCTCAGTGGTTACAACAACAGCAACACCACCCTTGGGGGTGGTGGTGTTTCTCGGTAGTGAAGGAAAAGGGGAAGGGCAGTAAAAAAACGTGAATGAAAGGCAGTAAGTGGTGGTGTTTGAGGGTGGGTTTGAGTGATCAAACGGGATGGAAGATGGGTGGCTGGGTTGTGGTTTCCGGTGGAGAAGGAGGTGATGGCAGTGGTGGTTTTATGGTGGAAGGTGGTGTCACTGTGTGGAATCGTAAGTTCTTGAGAGAGAGAGAGAGAGAGAGAGAGAAAGAGAGGGTGGGTCCCCTTGCATATTAAATTTTATTTATTTATTTATTTATTTAAAAAAAGTAATATAAAACCTCATAAATGGTCCCTGGGTAGTGAAATGACAAAAATACCCCTTACTTAACGGCTAACTGGTAACGGAGTAAGCGAAAAGGACCATATGTTAAAAGTTTTGAAACCACAGGGACGATCCGTGAGGTTTTTGTAAATTAAGGACTAAACTTCAGATTTTCGGAAACCACAGTGACCATTTTTGAAGTTTTGTCAAAGATTTATTGTCACACCCCCAAACCAAAGATAGCGGAAACGTCCGGGGGTGGATGACTTCATGTATAGTATCATAACAACAATTGTAATAGTAATTCAAGCAAACACAA